GAGTGGTTAAAAACTGACAAATGGAAGCACCAAGATGTGAAGGTTGCATGTTAGCTGAGCATGGAAGGGCATCTGCACATGTCAGCATTTCAGTATTTTCTGGTTGTCTGCACAGCTGACTTCACCATCCTCTAGCTTAGTGGCCTTCATGGGGAATGTGGGGTTATCAAGCACTCACAAGGATGAGCATACAGTTGTGTGTGTGTGTGTGTGTGTGTGTGTGTGTGTGTGTGTGTGTGTGTTTATGCTGGTCCTGGGGCTGGAGTCATAGGGCCCAGGCGATACCCCTGACCACTTTTGCTCAAGGCTAGTGCTCTGCCTCTAGAGCCACAGCTCCACTTCTGATTTGTTTTGGTGGCTAGTTGAAAATGAGTCTCACCAATTTCCCTTCCTGAGCTGGCTTTGAACCACGATTCTCAGCTCTCAGCCTCCTGAGTAGCTAGAATAACAGGTGTGAGCCACTGACACTCTGCTGGTATACAGTTTTATAGTCAGAATGATTGTGTATTTGAACAACGCACACTCCATGAACATATATGAGTCACACCTCCAGTCTGACTTTTTGCTTGTTAACTGGAGATAAAAGTTTCATGGACTTCCTTGCCTGGGCTAACTTCAGCTCTCAATTCTCAGCCTCCTAAGCAGCTAGCATTATAGGTGTGAGCCACCAGAACCTGGCTTAGGACCTGGGTTCTAAATCTCAAACTCTCAGCCTTGCTCTGGACCTTTCAGGAAAATAGAGCCATAAATTACTTCTGATCTCCAGAGGAGGAAGTGAATCCCCTTCAACTTGTCCTGCACTCTCAGAAGATGGTTTGTTAGTTACTAGATTCCAGGTTTAAGGCATGTGTAAAACATTTCAGAAGCCACCTGAGGAATGTATTGGAAATTTACTAAAGTGTGCACCCTTCGACTTTGACATTTTAATTTCACATCTGGAAATTTCACTCATAAAATTAAAACTTAGCATGAAAGCAATATTGCATGCAAAAAAGGCTTATTAGATCGTTTTTATAGTGAAAAGCCTGAAATCACTCAAGGTAAATTCCTAGAGGAAGTATAGGATCCAATATAGCCTCTTGATCAAATAGGATATAGATTAAAAATTATATTGACTTCAAGAAGAATGTGCATGCTGTGTGAAAGAGAAAAAAAATCAAGTACATTTCTATGTTTTAAAATGATATAGAAATGAGCTGTAGTTAGAAAATTAGAAGGCGGAAATCACAACGATTATGGATGGGTAGTTGGACTTTAAATAGATTCTTTAGTTTCTAAATGTTCTATGCAAATGTGTTTGAATGAAAAAGATAGTAAATAAACCAAAGATACCCAAAACAGCACCAGATCTAGATTCTGCTGGTCAGTGGAGAGTAGCTGTGAGATGCAGGACATAAAGGATTAGATGATAGGCGAGGCATGCTGTCAAAGCAAGTGTGCAAATGTGGGAGAAGCCAAGAGCCAGGGTATTTAACCAAGGAGCACTGTAGGGATGGAAGATTATCTGGGTAAAGTGACCATGGCTGGCCTAGTAGATTTTGGTAGTACATGAAGGACCAAGATGAGACGTGTCGTACAGTTTAACAAAATGAATACCAAGAAGGTGAAACGTGTGTTGTTGGGAAAGGAGGAATGTTAAGTGGAGGAGCAACAGGTGAATGGAGAGAGTAAAAGTGAGCGAATAAAGTCATCATATTCAGTGTGTATATGTGAACATGGAACCAGGAACCTTGAAGGAATGGATTGGTAGGATTGGGACAGACAGGAAAAGGGGTGACATGGATCAAGGTTATTGAACCTTATACATTGACATGTTGAATTGAAATCCCTTGGTACAACTACTTAAAGATAATTTTTAAAGAAATTTTCTTAAAAGATGAGAAGTTGGCAGGTGTAGAAGTAAACTCATGGGCATGGTACACTCCCAAAGCAGCAATATGTTCAGAATGCTACAAGGGGGAACATGGAAAGGGTGGACCAGAACGAGTAATAGTAAGCCATTCATGCTTCTTAAAGATAGCTCTGGCAACAGGGATTATGGTTGCAATATTCTAGCTAAGAATGATGATGGGCCTTCAGTACACAGAGTGGGAAGAGTCTTCCTTTTGGATTGACATTGTTGCTCCACATCTGGATTTTTTTTTAGGATGGGGGGATAGTTAGTTGGAGATGAGAATCTCATGGACTTTTCCTGCCAGAGCTGGATTTGAGCTACAATCTTCAACTCTTAGCTTCCTGAGTAGCTGGGATTACATGTGTGAGCCACCAGTGCCTGGCCTGTTTTAGAGATCATTAAGTATGGTTTTTCCGCTTTCAAATATTTTTCATTGCCTTCCAAAGACTGTAAGGTGAATAAGGCGTGGGTTCTCCCCTGATGAACATCTTACCATGAAAATGCCATATGCAGTTTGAGAATAGTGTAGAACCCAAGAGGTGAGGGGATGGTGGCCATGGAAACACAGTTCTCAAAAAAGTAAATAAAAAGGCTAGAAGGTGGAAAATAACATTTCCTTTAGTGCCAGATCTCCCTCTATCATCTTGAGTTCCAGATGAAGTTAGAGGTTATACTTAAAGCAAGCCCTCAGGGAATCTATACTGAATGAGTGAATGAGTGAATGAATGGATACAAGCAGCTGTATTTTTTTTATTTTTTATTATTTGGGGGGGGGGGGGTCCGGTCGTGGAGCCTGAACTCTGGGCCTGGGCGCTGTCCCTCAGCTCTAGAGCTCAAGGCTAGCGCTCTACTACTTGACCCACAGTACCACTTCTGGCTTTTTTCTTTTTGCTTATGTGGTGCTGAGGAATTGAACCAAGGGCCTCAGGCATACAAGGCAAGCACTCTACCACTGAGCCACCTTCCCAGCCCCAAGCAGCTGTATTTTAAAAGATGCCTGAGGAATTTTTTATTTTATTTGTTTTTGCTTTCTTGGTCTTATGGAGAATGAGAAAATGGTCTAGAAAAGACCTAGAGTCCTAGTCACTTAAAAATCGTTTTCTTCAAATATATCTCAGAATAAGGCAAATTAGCCTCCCCCTCCTGCCACCGGCCCCTGAAAAAAAGCAGCAAACCAGAAAACTTTTATTAAAGTATTTCTCATAAATGCTCTCTGGTTAAAATGTAGATTTTTGTGGTCAAACATAAGTTTATAAATATGCATTTACAGTGCTTGTCATAAGCATTTCCAAATGCCAGAATTGTAAAAGACCCACATTCTCCATTAGGGAAAAGGAAATTACATTTGGAAGACTATTGTGTTCAGTGCAATGCTGACATTGAGGATGTGTGTTTTGAATGACTAGTGATTAATGGCAGACTCTAAACTTGAACTCGGGCCTGTTTGATTTCAAAGTTAATGCTCCTTCTGCTTTAGCTTTTATGTGATAAGAAAATAATTCATAGTGGAGAGGTGAGGTATATAGTATATAAATCCCTAATTACCCGAGATCTATAAGCAAATGTCCTTTCAAGATTATTTTTTAAATTTTATTTATTTACTTATTTATTTATTTGATCTCAGGGCCTGGGTGCTATTCCTGAGCCTCTCTGCTCAAGGCTAGTGCTGTGCCACTTCTAGTTTTTGAGTGGTTAGTTGGAAATAAGGGTCTCATAGGGATTCTTCTGCCCTAGTTGGCTTTAAACCAGGATAGGATTACAAGGTGTGAGCCCCCAGTGCCCCGCCATTTCTTGAAACTTTTAAGTGAGCAGAACAAGAAGTTATCTCTTCTTTTTTTTTACCTTGTCTTCAAAAACCAGTGGAATTCGTGGATCCCATTCTTATGTCTCCTGTTTTAAAAAGAGTTTCCTTCTTGAGTTTTCTTCCCCCTTTAGGTGTACCTATTCTCTACACACCACGGTAGGGACAATGATGAGCCTTTTCATAGGACTGCCGCGTAGCCCTGCTGCTCTGAATCTCTTTCTCTCACATCTGTCACAGTCCATGACAGAGGCCCATCTGCCAGGCATATGGAATTGGTGTTGCTCAGCAAATCTTTGTTCTAGTCTGATCCCAGAGAGTATTTTGGAATTGTCTTGTAAATTCTCTGTCCTCTTCTATGCCCTCATTGCACTGGTCTACGGAGGCAGTCGAAATCCAACTGATGATGTCTGTCTTCTCTCTTCCACTAAATGGTGGGCCTTTGGAAGCTAGAACCATGTCTCACTCACCATGTGTGTCCCCTCCCCTAGCCCCAAAACAAGGGGAGCACAGCACCTTACAGAGGAGTAGCTCAGCCTGTTCTTTGGCTTGACTCTTGTCCCACCTACCCTTCCTAATAGTTCTATCCATGCACCTGGAGAGATTCTGGAAATGAGTGACCAGATAAAACTTTAACACTGCCATTCATCTGAGAACCCTAGCCAGAACATCATTAAAGACTTGGTGGAAATTTTTGTTTCCTTTCAATGATAAATCTTGCAGGAAACTTACGTTCTCATAATTCTAACCACATTTTGTATAAATAAGAACCAGCCATGATTAATACTTTTAAAGGGCTTTTTATGGAGCTAGTTTTCTGTGTTTACCTCAGATAATCCTAGCCTTGACACATGTGCTGTGGTACACTTCATCACAGTAAGCTAACAGCAACAAGATTGTCTTCCACTTAAACTATGGTTGAAGAGTTAAATTATTGTCCTCTGTCTGACCTGGAGTATCCCTGAGCCCCAGTTGATAAGATTATGGGCAGAAGGTCATGGAATGAGGGGTCATTCCCACGGCTTAAGACGAGGACACCTTGTAGGGTCTTTTTGTTTCCAGAAGTAGCCAAAACTTGAGTACTTTATAAATGTCATACCTTTGACTTCCACTAAAAAAAAAAAATACTTACTGGATGGCACATAGGAAGGTCCATAGTTGACAGTTGCAGTGAGATCTATCTCCTGCACTGCTGGATGCTACTTAAAAAGAAAAAAAAAAGACACACTCATCAGGAAAAGATGTTGGGAAAACCCCATATGGTCTGTGGTTCATTATTCCATCTTCTGTTTGGACCTTTCTCAGGTAAGCCGTAACTTTGAGCTTGTTGGACGGGTTAACTTGGATCAGCTGGAACAGATGAAGGAAAAAATGGAGAGTTCCAGCAGCGACGATGAGGACAAGGACGACGAAATGAGCAGCAAGGCTGAAGACAGAGGTTAGTGGTACCCTGCTCTCTGAATCGCAGATGGTACCCGGTACGTCCTTGGAGAGACAGAAGGAAGACAGGAGGTTGCTGGGGGAGGAACAGAAGGAGTGATCCCTCTTGGTTAAGTAGCAGAACAGACTGACTTGAGACTCATCAGGGGCCGTGCCTTTGCTAAAAAAAAAGAAAAGAAAAGGAAGGAAGGGAAGGAGGGAGGGAGGGAGGGAGGGAGGGAGGCAGAGAAAGAAAACTAAGGAAAACAGACATTTTCCTTCTGATATAGATATGTGTGCGCTTAACATATGTATATGATAGTGGCTTTTTTTGGACAAGGAAAACGAGGCTCTAAAGAATTTTTAGATGAGGATGGACAGAGACCAAGATGAGTGATGCTCTAGGGTTGTTGGTGAACATGAATGAACATGGAGTTGAATGTTCTTCTAAAGTAACTGCTGGGACCAGGGTGGGAGGTGTCAAAGAACTTGAGCCCTCTTCACATGTTGATTGGTCTCCATGTGTCCCTCTGCAGGCCCTGTTCTAAACTCCCTAAAGCCCTGAGTCCAGTCTGTAAAGAGAAGAAAGAGAGGCAATGTCTTGCATTAGACCATGTACTTCCAGAAATGAAATCTTTGAGTTCTCTAAATTCCTACCAGGTTTCAAAAGTGTTTAGTTGAAGATAGGGTGTTCTTTTTTTATACTGTTCAACATATTTGGCCATTCCTTGGGCTGTTTATACAAAAACAAAAATAAGGCTAAGATGTATTCCTTTAGTTACTGTATATACATCAAAAGTATGTGTATAATCTAACTATAAGAAATACACATTATAGATGTCAGCCCAGTGATTAAAAGAGTAGTGTTAATTGCCTTTTTTTTTTTTTTTTTTTTTTTTAGTACCAGGGTTTAAGCTCAGGGCCTTGTGTATTCAGCTGGCAGTCTACCACTTGAACCTTGCTTTAAACCCAGTTTTCATTTTTGGAGATGGAGTCTCATAGACTTTTCTGCCAAAGCTAACTTTGGACCATGATCTTCTGGATCTCAGCTTCTTGAGTAACTAAAGATTACAGGCATGAGCTACAAGCAACTGGCTTGAAAAATACATTTTTAAACTAAAGCTTCACATTTTGCACTCTGATATTGTATTTAATTCATACATATATGTCATATATTATTTCATATATATATATTTAAGAGTTATAAACTATATGGAAACATATAGTATACGGTACACAACATAATCCCTGGAAATATGTATTGTAGAATGGCTAATTTAAGCTAATATATTATCTCACTTCATTTTGGGGTGGGAACACAAAATTGAATCAGCAATTTTCAAGTATATAACATATATTAGTAATCATTATCCTGTCCTATAGTAGATCTCCATAACTGATTGTTCCTGCTTAGCTGAAATTTTCTAGCTTTTAACTAACATCTCTCTGTTCCCTAATTTAGCCCTTGATAGCCACTATTCTACTACATTTTTTTTTCTTTCTTTCTTTTTGGTGCCAGTACTGGGGCTTAAACTCAGGGCCTTGCACTCCTAACTTGACTTTTTCTTTCAAGGCTGCCCATCTACTACTTAAACCACACCTTCACTTCCAGTTTTCTGATGCTTAATTGGAGATAAGAATCTCAGGGACTTTTCTGCCCCAGCTGGCTTTGACCCTCAATCCTCAAACATCTTGAATAGTTAGGATTACGGGCATGAGCCACTGGTGCCAGACTAATACTTGTTTGGTGTTTTTGTTGGTGTTAGTGTTGTTTGTGCTTTACTTCCTTTAGCCCAATGATCTAGGTTCATCCATGTAGTCATTCCTCTTTTGTCGTTGTTGGTGGTGGTAGTGGTGATCATGGGGTCTGAATTCTGGGCCTGGGCGCTGTCCCTCAGTTCTTCAGCTCAAGGCTAGCACTCTACCACTTGAGCCACAGCACCACTTCCAACTTTTTCTGCTTATGTGGTGCTGAGGAATTGAACCCAGGGCCTCATGCATGCAAGGCAAGCACTCTACCACTGAGCCACCTTCCCAATCCTAAGTTTTCTTTATGGTTATTATAAGGGTAATGTACATAAGGGTTATAGTCAAATAGGTCAGATAATTAGTACATTTCTTCTTGGTCACTGTACTCTTTCCCTCACCATTCCTTTTGTTTTTGTTTTTTTTAAGCTGAATAATATACTGTGTGTTTGTGTGTGTTCATATATACACATTTTTTTCTATTTATTGATGGACACTCAAGTTGTTTCCATATCTTTGTTATGAGTACTATGTTATGGTGCACCTGGGAATACAAATATCTCTTGCACGTACTTCTTTTTCTTTGGAGGTAGTGATAGGATTTGCTATTACTATAGTAGTAGTAGTAGTAGTGCAATGGCTGGTTTTTATGGTAGTTCTATTTTAACTTTGAAGAAATTCCAGACTGCTTTCCATAATGACTATACTAATTGATATTCTTAGTAAGACTATGCATGGATTACCTTTTTCTATTTCCTCACCAACATATGGTATCTTTTTGTTTGAATTCCCTATGTATTTGGGATATGGACCCATGACAGATTCATTTACAAACATTCCCTCCCACTACGTATTGTTTCTTTGCCTGCATAGGAACTTTTTAATTTTGACATAATCTCATTTGTCTATTTTTGTTACTTGTGCTTTATGGGTCATATCCAATATGTCATGGAGTTTTGCCCGTGTTTTCTTCTAGTAGTTTTATAACAGTTAAGCCTTATATCCATTTTGAGTTGATGGGTTTCCTGGCACTGTTTATTAAAGAGACTGTCCTTTCCCCTTTGTGTGATCCTGATAACCTTCTCAAAAATCAACCAACCGTAAAGGTGTGTATTGTTTTCTGGACTCTCTGTTCCTTCCACTTGATCCACGTGTGTTTTTATGTCCATCCCATGCTGCTTTGATTACCTTAGCTTGGTAGCAGATTTTGAAGTCAAGTAATGTGATACCTCTAACATTATTCTGTGTACTGCTTGGGACCTTTTTTTTTTTTTTTTTTTTTTTTTTTAGTTCCCTGGGTTGTATTGTGGGGGCTGGAAATGTTTTATAGTAGTAAGAGCACTTGCTGAGCATGTCCATGGCCCTGCTTCAAACCTCAGGACTGCTTTCCTAAAATTAATTAATTACATGTGATAACACCTAAGCCTTTAGCCCAGTTCCTGGAACATAGAACCACCTCGTAATGCAGTAGATGTTATTACTGTCATTTTATAAATGAGAAGATGAAGGTCTAAACAATTTTGTGAGCTTGTCCAAAATAAAATGTATAAAAACATTCATAATAAGAATATGTACATATGCATACATACATACATACCTATATACATATAAAAGAAAACACTGGAGGTTGAATTTACGTCTTATGTTCTCCAAAGACAAGACTTCTACTATTACCAATTTTCCCATCCCTTGAACAGTGGCATAGTAAAGGAAACCTAGCCTTGAAATCTGAGAATTTAGTGGCTCTTAGGGCCTCATTGTAAGTTGCCTTTTTGGGGGGGGGCGGGCGGTGCTAGTCCTAGGGCTTAAACTCAGGGCCTGAGCTACCACTTGAGCCACAGCTCTACTTCCAGCTGTTTTGGTGGTTAACTAGAGAATAAGAGCGTCTCACAGATTTTTCTGCCGGGGCTGGTTTCAAACCTCCATCCTTACAGCTCAGCCTCCCAAGTAGCTAGGATTATAGGTGTGAGTCACAGGCACCTGGCATAAAGTGTACTTGTGTTAGTAGAGACTATATTCACCCATTTCTTACCCACCTCCCAAAAAAAGAGAGAGATGGCTTTTTTTTCTTTTCTTCTTTTTTAAGACCTTTTCATAACTAGGTTCTTCACAAGGAATCTTTAACATCTGTGCACTGTTATGAAAGTACTCTGGGAAAGAGTGCTTCTGAAAGAGAATACAAAGATTCCTTCTTCATGGTGCTCTGTGACCCTGCTGTTCCTCTTTGAGAAATAAATTATTCCTCATTGGCTCTCATGATTATTTTTAATCTCTAAAGTAAAGCACAGGTTATTTTTGAAATTATTACAGAGGAAGGGGGGGAAAAAACCCTCCAAAACCACCTTGAAGTTCCTTCTTTCCCTGTGACTCCTAAACACATAAATAAATAAAGCCTTAAGAAATGAGTAGAGACAGAATGGCATTGGTGATGTGTGCAGGCATTTTCCCTGACTACCCTATGTGGTCTCTTGTTAACACTAGGCTCCACACCAGACTTCACTAGAAAGCACTTCATGATGTCTGCTTCTCAGTGGAGAGGAGAGCATCCACATTCCTGAGCCTGTACCACAAGCAGAAAAGTTCTGCACGGAGAAGCATGTATTTGTAGCTTCTAACCACATTGGTAGGAATTGTGAGCTAAAGCCTTTGTTTTCCCCTCACCCGTCATCCTCATAAGAACGGCTGTCTTTGTTCCATCTCCTTTGAATGGCCCTAAAATCAATATTCTTGCCAAGCAGACAATAGCCTTAGGGTGTTTTTGCCAGACATTCTGGCTTCTAGGAGTAGAGGGTGGGAGGTGGAGTTATCCTAGCTCTCAGGCTGATTGAGAGCAATTTGAAGTGTGGCAGGTAATGGGTGGCCTCTTCCTTTGAGGATGCAACTTAGCATGTGCCCTTGGCTACAATAGATGACTGGTTTCATGTTTCCTAGGGGAAAAGGAGCAAGTGCACCGGAGTACTCTCCTTGTTGACATGTTAGACTTTCATCACACACACCCTCAATCTCGCAAGTCCACATCCTTATAGCTGTCCTTATAGCTCCTTTCCAAACCCAGAACGTAGACATGGGGCAGGGCTTGTATAGGAAGAAAGCTCAGGAAAAGTGAAAGAACCAGGCATGAGGAAAATCAAAATGAACCCAAGCAGAATGCTGCTCACCCCGCCCCCTCTCATTATGCAGTTGGGAGGAGTCAGGAAGGCATTCTGTTGATTTCTTGCCCAAGATAATCCCTGCTAAGGAATTAATGCGCAGAGCAGATGGTGCTGTCTCATTTCCAATGAAAAGAATCAAGGAAGATAGTCTGTGCAATTATTTTTAATGGCTTGTGTGGTGATCTTCTTAATTTGTGAGAAAATGTTTCATCTTTTGTGAAAACTGGCCCTGTTCACATGGCGTTCTGTGCGGAAGATGAAGGCGTCCCAGAGCATCTGACTTGGGAGGATTTTATTAAATGGGGGCGTGTCAATCAGGAGATGTGCCTGTATCACCTTGTATGCATGGGTCCAGAATGGTCTCACATGTAAAGATGATCCCGCTTCCCCATACGCTTCCCTCATTTTGCAGCCTGGCTACACAACTGACTAGTCCTGCTGTTTATTACCCACACAAAGACTTGTCCCTCTGTGATCTAATGAAAGACATATGGGCTTGGGATTCAGGATAGCACAAAGGCCATATAGCTATCATCTTTGAGTTTCTAAGGGGTGTGGCTTAAAAACAATTAGCCAGCCAATCCAGATTTGTCCAACTCCCTAACATGTGTCCAGAACTATGGAGAACACAGAACAAAGAATTTAATATTTGATGTCCAGACCTGTCCAGAACTATCATCTGTCCCCACAATTGTGAGTAGCACTGATTGACAAGCTGATGTGGGAAGCTGGCCAGAATCCCTCATTGTCTGGGGTCACACTTAGTAAGTGAGTAGAGGTCAAACTATGGGCCTTGAGATAGAAGAAAAACCAGGAGAGAGAGAGAGACCCAAGTAGAGAAGAAATGCTCAGGAGCCATTGGAGTAGACAGGGGGCTTCTTCTGGCAAGAATGCCTTGGACTATTGGTGATGGGAGATTTTGGGGGTGGGGTAAGGAGACATGGGGAGACTTGGAACTGCTCTTAGGAGCTATCTAAGAAGTGCCCTTTGGGGAGGTCCTTGGGGAATCTGGAACGCACTTTCGCCTTGTGGCTTCCCAGGTGAGGAGCACAGGTTCGCTGGTGAAGGATGACCCATCTCTCTGCACGTTCGTGTTCGTGTGGCATGCCGGTGATAGGGTGACACTATTGCTTTCTCTTTGCAGAGCTGATGGGATTCTCAGACCATGGAGTGCCTGTGAACAGCGAGAAGCGTTTTCCATGTGAATTCTGTGGACGGGCATTTTCACAGGGCTCTGAGTGGGAGAGACATGTGCTGAGACATGGCATGTAAGTCCTTTGTCCCATGGTTGATGCTTGGGAGAGGAAGTCAGGGTTCTGTGTCAGAAAGTGGGAGAAAGACCAGGTTTCTCCTCTGTTAAATTTGAAAATGGCCACCCAGCCACAACTCATGAAGGAAACCATTGCAATATATTGGAGATGAACTTTACAGCTTGGAGAGGAGAGCCAAGGGGGGTGGGGGAGGGGAGTGGGAGAAAATGAGGGAGGGGGTAACACTGTTCAAAAAGAAACATATTCATTACCTTACTTATGAAGCTGTAACCCCTCAGTGCATCACCTTTACAATAAAATTTTAAAAAGAAAGAATGATATGTCCTACATAAGTCAATGCAGAAGTATAGCATTTTCTCTAGCCTATCTCCCTTACATATTTATTAGTATTACCTTCTATGCAACAACATGAATTTTTTTGTGTGTATACTAGTCTTGGGGCTTGAACTCAGGACCTAGTAACTGTCCTTGAGCTTTTTTCCACAAAGCTGACTGCTCTACCACATGAGCCACAGCTCTGCTTCTAGGTTTTGGTGGTTACTTGGACAATAGAGTCTTACAGATTTTCCTTTCCAGGCTGGCTTTGAACTATGATCCTCAGATCTCAGCCTCCTGAGTAGCTAGGTTTTGAGGAGTAAGACACCAGTGCCTGGCTATGAATTTGCCTCTAAACATCTAACTCTTATTCTGTCCTCTGTGACTGTCTATTCCCTGAGTGGCTTTGAACTTACACATGTACTGGGCAAGAGTCCAAGGAACAGAGTCAGTTTCTATCTTTCCTCCCAAGTAGGTGAGAACTTTCCTTTGTAGATACTTAGTCTAAGCTGCTTAAACATAGATTCATCCCTTTGGCAAGGTGCCTTTGGTCTACAAGACACAGAAGGAAATTAGGATCTGGTTTTCTAGAATAGGCCCTGAAACCTCAAATGCCTAGATTTCTGAGAATGCAAAACTTCCTGAGATACAGGTTTGTCTACAGGGCTTTTGCTTTTTGTTTATTTCTGTGGCCTTAGTTATGGACCTGTCCAAAAAAAAAAAAAAAAAAAGGTTTTGATATCTAAGATACTCTTTTTAGCTTAATAAATATTAGCCAATCTCCAAGCTTCTGGAATCAGCTGAAGCATTTGAGCACAAGACAATCCTTGTTAGCGTTCTAATTATTATGACTCAGAAAAGATGACATGAAACTATTATGTTAGTCTGGAAACAAAAACATGGTGTAATCAAAACATACGCTAATAATGGATATTTTTGTAGGTTCGAATGATACAGAAATACATATCCCACACAGAGCAGACAGCAAAGATATATCACTGGCAACTGACTCATAGACACCCAGAGCTTTGTATCAAAATAAACCCAAGGCTCCTTTAGGATTTTGAGAACTATGAGAGCACTGGAGTCGTGTTTATTTGATTAGGAAATGCATGCATACTGAACTGCCTCTTCTGTGATTCTCCCCTCCATCCCCATCCCTCAGGGCATTGAATGACACCAAGCAAATAAGCAGAGAAGAGGTGCACCCAAAAGAAATGATGGAGGACATGCTGAAGATACCTATCTCCATGGAGGAGAAGGAAGACGATGAGCCAATTGGGATAGACTTTTCCCTAAAGAGTGAAACGGTAGCCATCTGTGTCGTAACTGCCGACAAATCTCTCCTGGAGGATGCAGAGGCCAAAAACGAATAAGAGTTTTGTTGAAATTCTTCATCAAACCTGACTTAACCCATGATGAGAAAGTGGGAGGGCTGGCATGGGCTGAGAAGGGAGGGACAGAAAAAAATAAAGAAATAAAGAAAGAGAGAAGACAGAACAAAGCTGCTTTTTAGGGACTGAACAATCTATTTTCAAAGCACTGGTACCTGTGTGAGTGAGTATGTAAATTAAAGTTATTTAAATGGTTGGAATATGTGGCTCCTTTTCCATCACTCCATCTTTTTCTTCTGGATCTTCACCATGGAAGTTTCCTCCGCTGCGGATGTGGGAATACCTTCTGTGGGCACGGTGCGTTCCATGGTCCCCTTGGACAGTCTACGGAAATACACGCTCCGGGACAGTGGAAGACGTCTCCAAGGGGAACAACTTTTTGACGCACAACTTTCTGTGCGTTTTTCTAGTTTTAATACCTTAAGCTTTTTCAAGACCTAACTGCAGCCGCTTTGGGGAAAATAATAATAATAATAATAACAAGACAAAAAAATAAAAACCAGAAAACAAAAAAAGAACTGCTTTGCATAAAACAGTCACCTGTTTCCTAGTACCTCAAACTTAACCAAGGGAATTCTCTGCATTTCTCAGTACTACCTGTCGTCCTGTGGCTAAATGTAGAGAGAACTGCTGGGCAAGATGGTGAATGGAGGGGGAAATAAAAAGAGTTTTAAAGAAAGGAACACAAATTGTGCTTAAAATCCCCGTGTGGGTTTTATTTCTTAAAATACTGTGATTTTTTTAATTATTTTAGTAAAAAACAGAACAAAACAAAAAAACAGAAACAGACTTTAATTATTAGATCACTGTTTGTGAATGGTCATCCTTACTCCAGGTAAGCTGTTTATTCGTGTTCAACTATAATTTAGATTTCAGTAGCTTCATGTGAACTAATTTTAAGGTGATGGTGGCATTTTGTTTGCCACCTGTTTATTTTCTATCCAGTTGAGTGTTACAAACACAGCACAATTAAGTTTTTTTTTCATTACTTGTTTGTGTGTGTATGTGTATGTGTGTGTTGTTTGTTACTATTTTAATTCCAGGGCAAGGGAGATTTAGTTTCTTTGTGAATAGGAATGTTTTTATTTTAAACATGGAAATAACAACATAAAAAAGTTAACCTCTTTTGTTTTTCTTTTTAATTTAATGATAGAACCAAACTTTCAGCACAGCTATACCATCTATAGGCCAGGCAAAGAGGTCCTCTTTTGTTGTTTATCAAATTAACACCTTATTTGTCTCACATCCATAATTTCTTAGGATGGCTGACTTTTGTTTGTATTGTATTTTGTAGGGGTTACTCATTTGTTTGGGGGACCGAGGGGGACATGCTAGAGTCTCTTCCCTTTGGCGAGAGTGGACAAGAAATGATAAACTACAAGGAGCCTGGAGAACTACTTTTTTGATTTGTTGTTTTTGTTTTTAAATTTAGTTGTCAGCTGCTCTGTTTCCTTGTATTCACTTTTTCTGGAGGAAGCAGCTTAAACTAAAGCTAAGCCTACATTTATAATATGTTCTGATTGTGAACAAAAGAGTTTCGTTCCAAAAAGTAGGAAAGAACTTTTCTTAAACCCTAGGTTTTAGAAGCTGGTGTGTGAGCTTGTGTGTGTTTGTGTGTGTGTGTGTGCGCGCGCGCGTTTGTATGCATGCACATGTGTGTGCCAATGTGTTCACACACGTGCATGTATGAGTCTTGGTTTTCATGATTTTGGTGGTGTTTTTTTTTTTTTAACTTGGAATGGGAGGGGGAGGGAAGGGAAGGAAGGGCAGGGGATGACCATGTCCCACACAGCTTCAAAAAAATCCATGGAAGATGTTGCATTTGTGGAATGATTGCTTACTTGAAAAGCATGTTCTTTATTTTCTTGCTGTTAAGAATTTTTATTTGTAGATTTAATTTAATTTTTTTCCCTTAGGGATGAGGGGCCATCATATGGAAATCAGAAAAAGGGAAGTGTGAACTCTAGACAAAGATTCATGATTCATTTTTGTGTCCGTATTTGTTTTTAATTGGCCTCATTTCAAATGTGCTAAACAGTTTCATACCTGGATTGGGTGTTTGTAATGGCTACCAAAAAAAAAAAAAAAAAAACCAGAAAGAAAAAACTTAAAAAACAAATGAAAAACTGCAAATGAAAAAGAAAAAAAAAGAAGAAAAAAGGAAGAAAAAGGAAAAAAAGAGAAAATAATTGTGACATGCTTTTATCACTACTTTATTTTTCAAATAACATGTAAATACTGTAATCCATTGGATTTTGTTTTGCTAACCTGTTAATAAAAATATGGGACCATTATCCTTTTAACAAGGCTAGAATGTCATTTTTTGTTCTTTTTCAAACATATATCTGATATTTTGTGGCCGCACATTTTGTATGCATTATTATAATTTTGTTGACTGTAATGACATAGAATTTACAACCCTTTTTTGTTGATGTTTAATTTATACAGAGGACATTTTTTTTTTCAGAGCTTGAGAGAAGAGAATAAATAGCAAAATGATGACCTATTGACTCTAGTAGTCAGTGTTTCCCAATACTTGATGAAAGGGAGGGGGATTCTGAATCCTTGAAGCCAAGGGTTTAAAAAAAAAAAAAAACCACAAGTAGGTTATTCAAGTTGTTTGCAACATACATTTTGTAATGAAATGTGAGAAATTAATAAAGAATTTTTTTCACATGTGTCTATGAGCATCTGTGGTAAGTCATTTGTGGATCTGACAAAGATAGGGAATGGAGCAAAGGCAACCAGACCTTCAGTGCCTGCACCTGAGAACTAATTCAAGCCAGTGAATGGCTGCAGGTGGGCAAGGCCAAGGTAAAGCCAGGGAAGATGTGAGCAAGGGCTATGAAATGTTAGTGTTTCCACACCAAGTGTTTATCAAGGAGGGTTACAGGGGGAATGTTTTCCATCTAAAATGTGAACCAAAGTGATGTTTGAAGCTCCCAGAGAAAGAGTCAGTGTTTCAGTCTCACCACTGGGTCCATGTGCACACTCCTTTCAAAATTAAAGTCCCTGCTCATCCCTTAAACCAAATAGCTACAAGCTATCTACCTGTGTGTCCTGTACAAATTACCACCACTTATTTTTTTTTTTAATGTTAGCCTCTTTTAAATCAGGAGGGGGGGAAATGAATATTCATGAAACCCAGTGGAGTAAAATTTAAACCAACAGTTTTTGTTAAACTGAGCACCAGCTTGCTCCTATCAAATGGCTCATGATAATTTTTTTCAGAGTTCATTCTAAAAACCTCACCTTTCCTCTTGTCTTGTATCGGGTTTGCCAAAAGAATCTGTATGGAAACAGAAAAGAGTCATTAAGACACTGACAAAGCTGCGTAGAAAGGAAACTAAGTTGGATAAATTAGGATTGCAATGGGAAGCACAGTGATTCTAGTTGTGAGTTGGTAAAAATGTTCTTGTGAAACCTGATGTAAGTCACATGTTTGGGTCTAAGCTTGCCTGGTAGGTAGGCAGATAAATAAGAGGATTCCCATTCTCCTTAAGTCACTTATCATCATAAGAGATACTCAGCCTTTTCTAGGGTTGTGAGTTGAGAAGTTTCTCCTGTCCTATAAAGGTGGACTCCATTGCCACACAACTGTTCTCGCCAGCTCCGTTGCACATTGTGAACAATGTCTATCCTCCCAGTTGGTTTTATGGTGAGAAAATGGAATTTATACCTAAATTAGTCATAATAGGGCTCCTCTACAGCAGTTCCTGACATCTTGGGCTTAGTCCAATGGAGGCTTGCTTCCCAGGGTTGATTTGTAGAATTCCTTTTCCCCTTGTAACTCAGGAATCTAAGCTCCTCTTATCTGGGGATACTATTACCCAGGGTCACTACTGAGAGCGTGGAGGTATTCTAACCCCTCAAAGGCTGCATCCAGGTAATGGCACACCTCACTTGCAATCACACTGCATGACCCCTCCTACTCAAAAGAGAATGGGGAAGTGTGTGGATTCTGATCTACCAAGGAGTAGATTAGCTACTAGTTTCTGCCACAATCAAAAGCTAAGGGAACAGCAGAGAACCTAGAAATTCTCTGAAAATGAGATGCTGTGCATCAGCCAGGTACCTGGGTCAATATTTCTTAGCAACTATTTGGTTCTGGTCCCTGTATAAGAACAAAACTGGAACTTGATGTTGTTGACAGATGGAGCATTTGGACAGTATGGCTTTCCCATGGCAGAGGTAGGACTTGCTAGACCTTCCATTTCCTCTCTGGAAGCATTGGACACACATCTCTGTTGATGCTGTGGTGTGGGGGATGTGGTGTTGTGAGTGAATGGGTTTTCTGACCATCTAAGGGAGCATTTGATTTAGGAGCCATACAAAGAAATTGGATACTCCTACATACTTGGTGAGCCTTTTCAGGCTTAAGCTTAAACTGAAAATTACTACCATCTTTCCTTGCAGGAATCCTTATTCACTATTTGCCGAGTGTCATGCCACAACTCTCAGAGAAATAAACATAGAATTAAAACAAAGCAAAACAAAAAACCTAGGAGCCCTGGATTTTTTGTTTGCACATGGGGTTAGAGGAGGGAAAGATGTTTGCTTCAGCCATTGATACTTGGGATGTTGGGCTTTTTATTAAAGAGGAAAACTGTTTCTCCCCACTGAAAAGCAACGCCAACTGAACTCAAGATGAGTTTGCTGAATGCATTGTTTTAATTAACTGAGCCTCCTGAGCCAAAAGATTCCAAAGCTTTGCTAGGTGCTAGTGTCTCATGCCTGTAATCCTAGCTACTCGGGAGGCTGGGATTTGAGGATCCCAGCAGTTTAAATCCAGTCCAGGCAGGAAGTCCATAAGACTTTTATCTCCAATGTACCACCAAAAAGCTGGAAATGGAGATGTAGCCCAACTAGCAGAGCACCAACAAAAAAAGACAGCAACCAGGCCCTGAGTTCAAGTCCCAATAGAAGCTAAAGGAGAGTAAGAAAAATCTCAAAGCAAAGTTCCAATAGAGGACTCTGTTCTGTATTGACTGGGCTGGCTAAGCTGGTATTTCTTAAAGCCCTTAGGAAAGAAGACTTCAATCCTGTTAATCACATTTTGTCAGAGGAGCTATGTAAAGAGCTGTCTGCCTTGGTCTTTCCTCTCTTCTGCAGCCTTAAGTGCAGAACACATAGAAACTAGGTTTCCAGAAGCTCCAAAGCTGGGTGAGTAGGAAAGAACCCTTCATTGCAGAGTTCATAAGATGCCTCCAAGTAAAGTGCTCATCATTTCCTGAAATGTCAGTCCGTTTCCAGACCAGTCACCCTGCATGTGCTTCAGTGCTGACTCCTTCGCCTTCTGGAATCACCTGCCCTTTAGGATTCAGCCTAAATGTCACTTCAGACCATGTGAAGCCTTCCCTGACTCTACATGTCACAAGAAATAAATTTGCACACTAACCCCCATCTCTTCCCTGCTTTAATAAATAAGAAAGACTTGTTACGTTCCAGGAATATGTCTCAGTATCTCAGATAGTTTTCCCAGGGCTGTTGGAACAAATGAACACCAACTTGATGGCCTAAAGCAACAGAAATGTATTCTATTGTTCTGGAAGCCAGGCTCCTTATGGAGGCTCTAGGATAGTGTGTTCCATACAGCTTTCCTGGCTTTTGCTGGCTGTGGACAGAGCCCTTTGTGTTCCTTAATTTATGATTATGTTATCCCTGTCTGCCTCATACTTCATGCTGTCTTCTGTCTTCTTTTCCCTCCTCCTCTCCTGTTCCTTTTTGTATGTATGTGTGTAACAGTGCTAGAGATTGCACCCAGCACTTGGGCATAATAGGCAAAATCTCTAGCCCCTCCTGATCTCTTCTAAGGATGTGAGTTCTTGGATTTAGGAGCCTTTTTCCCTCACTCAGGAATGATCTCATCTCAATATTCTTAATAACATCTGCAAAGTCTCTTCTTTCAAGTAAGATCATATGCACAGATGTCCTCTTATCTTTGTGGTGGAGGATCACCATTAGATCCACTAGAATCCTAACAGACATCTGAAAAGTAACTGCTATTAGACCAAATTTGAATCCTTGGTGAAAAGGTACATAACTAACTGTCCAGCATTCACAGCTCGGGAAGAGTTGCAGAGCTCTGCAACTCCCAAAGTGCCATTGCTTAACCACGGTGCCACATGCTTCTCTTTGTCTTATTCATTTTTATCTTCCTAATGCCATACCCAGAACCTGGCTGTGAATCAGGACTCAATAAACGTCTGTGGGAGAAATGGATGGATGGATGGAGAGACATTCTCCCCCCCTCCCCCACCCAGCGCAGACTTTCAGTAGCAGAGACACATTGCTGTCAGATGCAGCTAGCCTTTTTAAATTCAAATATATTCCTGTTGATACCAAGTGTTAGTTCTCATCTGATTTGGCACCGATGTTACATTTTCTTTCAGAGCTTGATATTGCTTTTTTAAATATCCAAGTAAAAATATGCAGCTTGGTAGATGAGAAACGTCTTTGTCTGCAATTTCAGGCTATCTCTGTGAAAACACCAGAGAGCTGAGCACCAGCATTCGCTCTTAAAGGTCACCTTGACCATCCTCCTCCTCTCTTGCCCAGAGGTGGACAGGGAATGAATAAGGAGGTCTAAAAATTAGACGTCAGTGGTAGCTACCCTGGATAAGAAGGAGCAGAGCAGAAGCCAAAATTGGCTGTGGTAGGTGTGGAGACACATGGCTATGACAAGCAATGTGGACCGTGTGAACATGCTTAATGAACACACAGAGTGGCTGGTAGCTTTGAGAGAGATAGGGTTGAAGGAAACTTCTTTTAAAAAAATTGAGTGACTGAATATTGGGCGTGTTTATCATACAGCAGGGAAGAAGGAGCCATGGCAGCTATGACTGCCAGGTGAACTGTCCAGAACAACACAGCAATTGGCGTCGGTGATGCAGAAGAAAGGGAAAGGAAAGGAGCACACTCAACTCTCCACGTAGACAGAAGATCCAGGGGCTGAGTTCATTCTGATGAGCCTTGTCTTTGAGGTGGGCACCCGCATGGAAGGTGGGGATGGGTAACAGGGAGGTTACCATCTGCAGCTGCTGCTGAGGGCCACATGGAGAACCCAATAGAGGGGAAAGGAAGATG